GGAGAGCAGCAGATGCAGCAGCTGGTTTCTAGAACTGAAGTCCAGCTCCACCCACCCCCAAGGGCTCCCCACTGGAAGCAAAGAAAGCTGAGGAAGGCAGGAAATTGAAACAATATGGGTGGGATGAAAGCACTGACGGCCCCACATCCCAGTCTCCTCCTATTAACACTGCATGAAGGAGGGATTATTTATAGTCACTCAAACCAGGGGAATGTGCCAAGTTCTCGAGTCCCCATGGGAGGCCAGATTCCATCCTGTAGGCAAACCAGTAACCCTTCTATTTCTGTAGCTCAGGCCAGAATTCAGTAGCTCCCACAAAAGAGAATGGGTTCATCCTAAGATGAGCCCTCCTTTCCTCTTTGCCAGTGTGTCTCTCTGCCTTTGTTCAGCTCCATGTTCTCACAAATGGCTTCACCACGTTTCTCCCACTGAAATGCAAAGACCCTTGTTATGAGCTGAATAGCATCCTCTCCAAATTTGTATATTGAATCCCATACCCCAGGGCCTCAGAATGTAACTATATTCAGAGACAGGGCCTTTAAACAGGTGATAAAGTTAAAATGATGCCATTAGGGTGGACCCTAATCCAACAAAATTGTTGTTCTTATAAGAAGAGGACATTAGAACACAGACACACCCAGAGGGAGGACCATGTAAAGACACAGGGAGAAGATGGTCGTCTACAAGCCAAGGAGAGAGCCCTCAGAAGAAACCAACTCTGCCAGCACCTTGATCTCAGACCTCTGGCCTCCAGGAACTCTTGAGTGCAGAGGTTCCCTGGGGGAGTGGAAAGGTCTTCTTCCTCTGCTCTCAATTTCCTGTAATGCAGGGTCACAAATCAAGAAATTTAGTTCTTCCCTGGGCCAGAATGACTTCCACGATTCTCCTTCCTAGGCCAGGAGAGGAGAGACTCTGCCCTGCCCAGGGCTAATCCCTTACCTTACCAGGTGTAGGTATCCTGTAGCTGGCTTGGTCCAGGTTTCTTTGGCTTGCCCCATGCTTTGCAGGGTGTGCATGTGCTGTCACTCAGACCTCCACTGCTGTGCTCTCTGCTGAGCCATACAAGGCCTGATGACTGTGGTGCGGCAGAAGCTGTGTGCCTCTCTCTCCTAATATTTAACTAAACATCCAGCTCAGCTAACATTAACCCTCCTTCCAACGGTACCTCCTCTCATAGCCACATGCACACAAGCTGTGAGGTTTGTATGCCCTAAGAGCTGGGAAAGTAAGAGCAATAGAAAGTGACACACATGCTGTCCTGTCAATAGGGAGAGCTTCCTGGGTATACAAACTGGGTATTCAGTCACATAGAGCCCTATGCTTGGAAGGGCTCCCTATTTGGTTAATCTTTGCTGTCGCTCTCTGGAAGGTTTAATAATTTTTGAGTAACGGGTTCCACATTTTTATTTTGTACTAGATGCCACAAATTGTATGTCCGGTCCTGGATAAGATTAATGGAGTCTAACTTTCCTGTTCTATCTGGATAATGTCATGAAAAGGACTAACAGCTCAGAAAACAGCCTAAAAAGGACATCAATGTAGTCAAATAGTACACAACCTACTCATCTAGGATACTAACTCTTCATCCTCTCTCTCTCTTCTTCTAATGCTCATCGTAAAGTGGAGGATGGCAACTTCCAGACGCAGGGAGGACCATGTGAAGACACAGAGAGAAGATAGTCAGCTAGCAGGGTAATGTAGGACTTCTAACAGAGACAAAGCACCTGCCTTGCCTGGAATGCAGAGGTGGGTAAAACCCAGGTCCCTCTGTTCCAGCTTGGCCAGTGATGTGCTAGTGGTTCTGTGCCCCATACTTCTTTTCTATCCTGAGAACCCTGCCCCACTCACTTCAGGGAGCCAGGAGCCTCTAGGTTTATAAGAAATGCTACTTGTGTGTACCACCCTGCAACGGAAATCTCATTCTTATTAAATGGGTACTCTAAATTCATGACAAATAAATCTCTGAAAATAATACCATTGCATTACTTAAAAACCCATGGCACTAGGAGCTAGTGCTTACCAAGCACCAAGCAGAGGTGCTACCAAACCTAGACCGTGGGGTGATGCATTCATAATAAGCCTATCATCTGAAAACAGCTCTCATCAAGGAAAACACATGGCCTTGACCAGTGATAAAGACTAACATTTGCTGGGTGTGAACTCCACTTTAGATATATTTTCCCAATTTACTCTCATATTATGTTTATCCCCATTTTACAGACAAGAGAGCTGAGGCTCAAAGAGGCTAAGCCACTTGCTCAAACTCACAGAATGTGGCAGTGCTGGAATTCAAACCTAGGCCATATGGCTTCAGAGGCAACTCTCAACCACCACTCTGAAGAATGGCTTGGTTTCTAGTAAATATTTTGCCCCTCAGTTTGCTCTTCCGTAAAATGAGAGGTGGGACCAGGTGATTGCTAAGGTCCTGCTCTGTCCCAAAATAGAGAAGTAGAAAAGTTCAGGGGTTAAGAGTCCAGACTTATGTATAAAGTGGCTCTGCTAGGCCCTCCCTTGGAGGATGGTGACAAGGAGTCGTAGGTGAAAAATTTAGAGGAATGGGTGGCACATGGTGAGTGCTAGACAAGTGGGAACTGTCATCGTTATCGAGGCATAACCTTAGGCACAGCCAGGGCAGACTCTAAAGAATCCTGAATTCCAGCTCTTAAGGCTCCTGATGTCTCCTGGAACATGAGAATGTCCTTAACCCCAAAAGTCACTCTGTGGGGGCACCCTCTCTGACAGTACCTACAATTAGGAAGGTATTAATGGAGCCTGGGAGACAAAAACCTGGCCCATCCCAGTCAAACCTGGCCCATCCCAGCCATTGTCAGGTAAGACAGTGACAATGATGAATGGAGTATTTCCCACAGTGCTGATTTCAGGTTCACTGGAAACCCCACTGCACTGGTACCCAGGGGATAAGGGGTGAATTTCTTCCCACCATGGTAATCCAAGTCACTCCTCCCCAGACACTGATCTATGCTGGCTCAAAGGCCAGCTCCACCACTTGGTAGCTGGGTCATAATTGGGATATTACTTAACTCTGAGCATCAGCCTTCTTGTTTACAAAACTATAGCAACAAAGCTTAGCCAGTATGCGCAGAGTCTAGAGCTAGGTTTCCTGGGTTCAAATCCCAACTCTACCACTTACAAGGCTTGTAACTCAAGGCAAGTTAATTCACGCGGTGCCCCAGTTTCCTCACCTACAAAATGGGGACAATAATAACACCTCCCTCAGAAGTTATTGGCAAGTTTAACAGAGTTAATGTTTCCAAAGTACCTGGATATAGAAATATTTGCTCCTCATTATTACTTTGAAGTTTTGTTGTGATTAAATAACTGTGCAGCACTACACCTGGCAACCAATAGGCTCCAGGCTCCTGGGAAACATGAGAGACATTGATACACTTATTATTACTATTATTCTAGCCAGCATGACCCCTTCAGCCCTGAGGAATAGAGAGAAAATTCTTTAGCAACTTAAAAATGAGAGCAGAAACCCTGAAATGAAAGCCAGCAGTGTGGTTAGAGGCTGCCCTTAAGGCAGGGTGCTTTGTAAATGGCCCCATTTCATCCAGCAGTGGATACTCTATCTCGCCAGGTCTGGTCATCGCACACTGCCCCAGTCCCCAACACCATCCAGGAGATCCAGTTCCTTCAGACAGAGTCTGCTAAGGAGAGCTCTGAAGAGAGTTAAAGAGAAGTTGCTGCTCAGACAAACCTGCCAACAGTTGTCGGTCTTAACTGTTTTGGAGAAAAAAGAAGACAAACCAACAACTGGGCTCGCTCGTTCTGGCTTAAATCTTCAACTCAAAGGCCTGGCCCTTGGAAGGGGGCTGTTCTGAGCCTCTCTGAGGAGCACTGGGGCCCCGGCCGAGGAGGGAAGAAAGGGGGCCGCAGTCTGCGCCCTCTGTCAGGCATCCGCGCGGCGACAGGGACAGCGCAAACCCGGGCCCTCCGGCGCGCACGGG